GAACCAATGCCCAGGTAGAAAGCAGCTCTCATTCACTGCAGCTCTGTGGAAGACTATAGGGAAAAAGTGACCATAGCCTCAGGAGCAAGCATAAGGTCAACAAGAATCAATAGGTAAGCCTGTGCAACAAACGTTTATTTCACTGGAATCATTAGATTCTAGATCTTTCTAACTATATATCCTACTACATATACTGTATTAAGCCTTCTTTCTTTTATTATATGTCATATTTTAATTAATTTTTTGTGACCCCATGTGTCTGCTCAAGACCACCAGGAATGCCCAGGGAATGCCTTATTGCTATCTTTTTGTTAGTCCCAACAAAACAGTCAATATTCTGGTCAACACAGGGGTCACAAAATCAAATGTCTTTAGAAGCCAAGGAGACACATGTGTGAAATCAGCCAGAGAGAGGAAACATAAGAATGGTGGGGGCTGAGGCTTGGTGGCACATGCCTATGGTCTCAGCTAGAGTTTCAGCTACGCAGGAGGCTGAGGCAGGAGGATCGCTTGAGCCCAGGAATTCAAGGCTGGCTGCAGTGAGCTATGATCTAGTCATTGCACTCCAGCCCAGACAGCAGGATAAAACTCAAAAAAAAAACCCCAAAGACCAAAAAAAAAGGTCCTGATTTGCACCTTGCATATACTGTTCTTCCTGTGTAAGTATATCATTCACCTGTGAGAGGCTTTCTGAGTAGTGATCCAAGGGAGACAGAGTAGGAACTACCTATAAACCACTACTGAGGGGTGCTAGTTATTTTCCAAACTGTTGCTTTTGCATTTCAAAGTGTGCCGGCTAGGTAGTGCCAAAAAGACCATCAACAACTCAAAATGTGACAGAATTTTGGGCCTTTTTCAGAAAACTCTTTTCTGAATATCTACCACTTCAACAGGTTTAGAAAGCTGACAAACTTAATTGATCTGTCAAATGGCGAGATCCTAGCTCATGCTGTCCAATCAAGCCCCAGGAAATCAATACAACAGATACTGCTGCTTGCACATCCCCCTGAGCATCCCACACGATGTTCTGAATTCAAACTGCCAACACCTGTGTCTCTGGCCTCTGATGCCCACCCGCCGGGCAGGCTCAAAATATGGGAGAATGTGTACCTCCCTAGGGGCAGCCCTCAACAATGGACTGGTAAAAAGATGCCAGCTACCTCACGCCCTCCCCCAGGGGAATAACTCTGACGCTGGTATTCTACCCTGCTCTGGAGTCCCCAGCATGATTCAGCTTTAGCTCTCCACAGCGGAAACTGGCCTGAAAACATACCCTTTACTAGCTGCCTTTCCTACCACATCTCACTTCATTTCCCTGGTGTGTCCTGGGATTACTTCACAAATAAACAGCTTCGATTCAAATTTTTATCTCGGGATTTGCTTCTGGAGGAACTCAAACTAATAAAATCAAGTTTCAACAGAAACAACCTGACAAATTCTTACATGTACTAATTTTTTATTTCTGAATGGAAAATCTAATAAAGATAGAGCTTTTATAGCTTCTGCTGCCTATATAAAGTAAAAACATAATGTATACAAAAGAGTTTTTCTGAAGTGTTGGAAGACTTTATACTTGCAAGAAAAGAACAAAGTGATAAGCTTTTCTAAGGAAAGCAAAAGCTATAAGGCAGTATTGTTTGAAATCCTTATTAATCAGGTGATAAATACGAAATATTAAATTTAGCCTACATAATTAAATCTAGGTGCAATATCACAGCCCTGAGCCTATGCATCTAATTCACTCAAGGTGGTAACAGGTCACAAAATGTAAGTTAAAAAGAATGGTGCTGACTTCACTTTCAGCCGCAACATATAATGAGCATAGAAGTTGTCACTCCTCGAGCGATGAGAAAAAGCTGGGCAAACTGAAAATCAATGACTTTTTCGGACCCATCAGAGAACTGAAGTAACGGGGCAAACTGCACAGGAAACCTGGAGAAACACAGGGAGATCTGCTTACCTGGAGCAGAAGCTGCTGAAGCTGTAAGCTGGCGCTGGAGGCTGAGTGTTGACTAGCACGAGATGAGACCCTCCAGGGAAGGGTCTCATCTGTGGGCTTTACCCCGGGAACTCCACTTGCTGTTCAAGGTGAAGGTCCCAGAAAGACCCCTCAGGCAGGGAAAGGGAAGGGTAATCATTATGAAACACACCCAGAACTTTCTCCATAACAAAGGCTCCAGGGGAAAAGACATCTCCAGGGCCTCTCCCAACTAGGGGAATACAAAGAACATTCCTCCCACTCCAGCCTCCTTTAAACGGGGAAAAAATAATCAACAAAAGTGAGGGCTTCAAGGAAACAGAGTAAGAACTCAGCACCTAGGGCAAGGAGTAGGGGTGGTGGTGGGGAGGTGGGTGGGGTGAGGGGAAGCTAAACCATTAGAGAAATACTTGTGAAGGTCACAACCCACCACAAGAGTAAACCTATGTGAAATGCAGGCCCACTAGAAGACTGAGATTTAATCAGGATATTAGTGAACTCTTACCCTCCTTCACATTTTGTCACATGTGCAGGGTTTCAAATATAATAAAAGTGGGTTACAGCTGAAAGAGCTGGAAGACACAGGGTCTCTCTAGGGAAGAGTACTTAGAAATTCCTTAAGTTAAGAGTGCAGACAAAAACAAGGACACCAGAGCAATCCAAAGCCTCTGGGACCTGTAGCTACATCACACATTAAACACAGACAAATCCTAGCCAGATTACCACAAATCCTCACACCAAATGTCTGTTTACCTCAATTCCCACTGTCAGGCTTTCAACAACAACAACAAAAGAAAAAAGAAAATATTATAACACATATATACCAAAAGGCAAGGAAAAAAAGTCTGAAAACACAAAGCAATAATCAGACCAGACTCACATATGACACAGATGTTGGGATTATCAAATAGGGAATTTTAAATACCCATAATTAATATGTTAAGAGCTCTAGAGGAAAAAGTACACAACATGCAAGAACAGATGGACATCGTGAGCAGAGAGATGGAAACCCTAAGAAAGAATCAAAAAGAAATGCTAGAAATCAACAATGAAGAATGCACTCCACGGGCTCATGAGCAGGCTCCACAGCACCAAACAAAGAAATCAGCTTACAGGTAGGTCAACAGAAACTTCCCAAACAGAAAAGCAAAAGGGAAAAAGAATAAAAAAACAACAACAGAACATCCAAGAACTGTGGGACAATTCCAGAAAGTATAAAATACACATAGTGGAACATCAGAAGGAAAACAAAAAGGCAGAAGAAATATTTGAAATTAAATGGCCAAGAACTTTCCAAAATTAACAACAGACACCAAACCACAGATCCAGAACACTGACACCAAGCAGGATAAATACCAAAAAACTTTCACCTAGGCATATCATATTCAGGAAATCAAAAGCAAATATAAAATCTTGAAAGAAGCCCTGGCGGGGGGCGGGGGTGTACTATATCTATAGAGGAAAAAGGATAAGCATTACAGTGGACTTCTCATTGGAGATCAAAGTAGAGTGAAATATTTAAAGTATTAGAGAAACCAGACCTGCCCTGCAAGAAATGTTAAAAGAAATTCTTTAGGCAGAAGGAAAATGATATAGGTCAGAAACTTGGAGCTACATAAAGAAGTGCATCAGAGAAGGAAAAAAATGAAAGTAAAATAAAATCTTTTCTTATTCTTAACTGATCCAAAAGATCACTGTTTAAAGTAATGATAGTAACAATGCATATACTGGGTGATTACAATACCCAGGTAAATGAAGTGAATAACAGCAATGTCACAGGGACTGGATGGAGGAATTGGGAACACTCTATCAATAGGTATCAATGTCAATACCCTGGTTTTAATATTATACTATAGGTTTGCAGGATATTAACATTTGGGAAAACTGGGTAAAGGGTACACAGGCTGTCTCCATATTATTTCTTATAACTGCACAGGAATCTACAATTATCACAGAATAAAATGCTTAATTTTATTTTAATAAGCAGTGAGAAATTTTAGTTCCCTAATGCAAAGTTTTAAAAATCCCATCTCATTAGCAAGGAAATTCTAATGACTTTAACATTTTTTTAAGAATTACCTAATATCAAGTTAATACACTATCAAAATAAAATAGTATGTACCCATTCTAGTTTTTAAGAAATACATAATGAAAAAAAGTATCCCATTAAAAAAAGACAACCAAATACTTGGAAATATACTTAAAAGGATATATGAAGGCAGAATCTTCTGGAAACACTTAGGAAGTACAGAATAGATTCCCTACCAAGTTGTAAATTTAACATAATAGCGGACAATTAAAATGAACTGTTAGCTACTTCTAAATTGTATTTCATTCCAAATTATTTATTATATAAATGAGTTTAACTAAATACCTGCTAGTTTGCCTTCTCCCACTCCATCCCACAGGAGATTATTTGGCACCTATTATGGGCTGGATTATGTATCCTCGAAAATCATATGCTGAACTCCTAACCCCCAGTACCTCAGAATGTAACTGTATTTACAGAGAGACTTCAAAGAGATCATTAAATTAAAATGAAGTCATTAGGGTGGGCCCTGATCAAATATGACTGGTTTCTTTTTGTGTGTGTGAATGTGAGGATTTTTTCTTTTTAAGTATTAATATTATGGGTATATAATAGTTGTATATCTTTATAGGGTACATGCGCTGCTTTAATAGAGCATACAATGTGAATTAATCAAATCAGGGTAATTGGGGTATCCATCACCTCAGGCATTTATCATTTCTTTGTATTAGGAACATTCCAATTCCACTCTTTTAGTTATCTTAAAGTATACCCTAACATTGTTGATTATACTCATTTTGTTGTGCTATCAAATATTGTTCATTCTATCTAACTATATTTTTGCACTCATTAAACCATCCCCACTACTCCCCCACTTCCCGCTATTCTTCCCATCCTCTGGTAACCATCATTCTACTCTCTGTCTCCATGAGATCAATCGTTTTTAACGTTTAGCTCCCACATGAGTGAGAATGCCCAAGATCTGTCTTTCTGAGCTTGGCTTATTTCACTTAACATAAGGTTCTCCAGTTCCATCTATGTTGTTGCAAATAGCAGGATTTCATTCTTTTTATGGCTATATAATATTCCATTGTGTATACATACCACAATTTCTTTATCCATTCATCCACTGATGGATATTTAGGTTGATTCCAAATCTTGGCTATTGTGAATAGTGCTGCAATAAACATGGGAGTGCAGACATCTTTTCCATATACTGTTTCCCCCTCCTTTGTATATATACCCAGAATTGGGACTGCTGGGTCATATGGTAGTTGTTTTCAGTTTTTTGAGGAGCCTCCACACTGTTCTCCATAGTGGTTGCACTAATTTACACTCCCATCAACAGTGTATGAGGGTTCCCCATTCTCCACATCCTCACCAGCATTCGTTATTGCCTGTCTTTTTGACAAAAGCCATTTTAACTGGGATGAGATGACATCTCACTGTAGTTTTTATTTCCATTTCTCTGATTACTAATGATGTCGAGCATTTTTTCATGTACCTGATGGCCATTTGTATATCTGGTTTCTTTTTAAGAAGAGGAAATTCAAACATGTACAAAAGAGAATTCTGCCTCCACACTGCTTTTAGGTTCAAGCTACAACACTAACTCTTCCCTGGGTCTCCCACCTGCCCTGCAGGTTTTAGACTTGCCAGCCTCCACAACTGTGTGAGCCAATTCTTTATAATAAATCTGTGTGTGTGTGTGTATGTGTGTGTGTGTACACTTCCTATGGGTTCTGTTTCTCAGGAGAACCCAGACTAACAAAGAATCCTTTTCCAATATCATGAATAGGCTGCTCAGAAATCTGGTAAGATGAATAATTAAAAAGGTAAAACTTCATGTTATGTATATTTTACCACAACAAGAAAAAGAAGGGGAAAAAAAGTGAACTTTTCACTAACCTGAAGATTTATAAGTTAACTAGTTATGAAGATTACATATGCCTCCTTTTTTAAAATGCAATTTATAATGAAGTTCCCTTCTTTTTATCAACTCTTTTCAAACTTCTAAAAACATGTTGAAAACTAAAGAAAATATTTATAAGATATTAATCTTAAAGTTAAATAAAGCTATCACTCTAAGTCAAAGGTGATAACTAAAATTAAAAAGCAAAAGGACAAAAACAGGAAAATATCTACAGCAAATATGGCACAGGATTATTAGATAAATGAGTAAAGTATTAGATTAATAGATGAAGTATATAGAAAAGACTATTCACAAAAGAAACATACATGGAAATACATATGGAAAAGTCTTTAGTTTCAATAATTACCAAAGACATACAAATAAAAATAAGATAGTATTTTCTAACTCAAATTACAGAAGTTTTTAAAAATACTTGTTTATATTCAAAATACAGGTAAACAGTACATTTATCAATGATGAAATTATTAATATAGCCCAGGAGCAGTGGCTCACACCTGTAATCCTAGCACTCTGGGAGGCCAAGGCAGGAGTACTGCTTGAGCTCAGGAGTTCGAGACCAGCCTAATCAAGAGTGAGACCCCGTCTCTACTAAAAATAAAAAAATTAGCGGGGTGTCCTGGCACATGCCTGTAGTCCCAGCTATTCAGGAGGCTGAGGCAGGAGGATCACTGAGCCCAGGACTTTGAGCTTGCAGGGAGCTATGATGATGCTGCTGCACTCCAGCTGAGGCAAGAGAGGGAGATTCTGTCTCAAAAAACAACAAAAAAACCCTAATATAAAGATTTTTTTAAAAAGCAGTTGGACAATGCCACAGGAGATTTAGAAACCATTATACACTTTAGACAGTAATCTCATTTTCTCTAAGAAAAAAATATCCTAAAGAAATAATAAATTGGGTGGAAAAACTTGGGTATATCCAAAAGCAAACTCTAAAAGTTGCTGCTACAATCAAGATATAAGCAAACTATACGGAAACAAGGATGGAGGAGAAATCAATTTTGTCTGAAAACACTTGAAGATTTCTTATAGAAGTTGAGATTTAAGTTTTGGCTTTAAACATGAAAATTTCAAAGGCCAAATACTGAACTATTTCAAGCAGAAAGTTTTCAAG